TGGCGGGGGCGGGCTGGGAGCCCGTGACCGGCTGTCACCTGCCAGGCACAGCCCCCCGCACCCCACTCGCACCCTCCACGTCCTCGTGCCCCCACGTTTGAGACCTACACCCTAGGAGCTACAGGCTGCACCCCCGCTTCCTAGTTTCAGTTCTTTTAGTGGTACAAATTAGTTCCTCAAAAGCCCTCATTTAAAGGAATCGGAAAGATAAGCCCCAGCAGAGACGTTTATAAATGTCAAGGTTCCAGTTAGGGAAAAAAACCCGGCAGGCGGAAAGCATCAGGGAGCTGTGCAAGCATTTCTCACAATTCATGCTAAGCCATGGCAACAATTCAGACACAGGCACGCTCCCAAAGCTCCAGCTTCTGTTGTACCTGCCTGAGCTGCCAAGTGTTTGACAAACTGCAAATTATTTGTATTGTCATCATAAACAGGTTGCTTTAATTTTTAAATTAGTTGCTAGCAGCAAACACTACAGTTTAAGAATAAAGTTGTTAGAAATAACAAAAAAAAAAATCTAACTGCATGTTACATTTTCACAATAGTCCTTATAGAAGAGATACTTCAGTCCTTAAAAACAAACAACCAAATTAAACATCTATTTAAATGTTTTCTCATTCAAAATAAGAACGAGTTACAGAATTTGTGTAAGAGTACCATATTCATTCTGCACCATTAGCTAATTAAAAGTTCCACTGCAGGTGTGAAACAAAGCAGAGGCTGCATGATCCTCCTCTAGTGACCGTTTCACACAGGACTGACATCCAGTTTCATCCTCATAAGCCTGCAGATGAAACTTGCTTTGGCAACTGTTTTTGAAAAAAAGCAGCTAATCCTTTCTTATATTGTCTGAATAATTCGGCAGCTCTCAAACTATTGATCAGCTCCCTTTCCCCTCCCTGCCCTTCTTTCAGAAATAGCTTGCGGCCTCACATGAATATTTTATATAAATCTACAAGTCTATCCCTAACCTCAGCCTCAATTTAATGCTCACTTTTTATTTTGTATCCAGACACACCTCACAGGTTTTTGTTCATTCCCACTTTTCCATTTCTCACTGCCTAGCCCCCACTGCTTTAGCCAATTAGTTTCATTTGGCATAAATTAAAGCATTCACCACCACCCCCACCGTGACATGGCCCATGGCAGGCCCCAGGCAACAAGTGCAGCTATCTGCCACCCCATTGCAAGCTACAGACCAGTACCTGCATAACACAGGGTGCTCTGGGGACCAGCAGTATATACTTATTTAGAGGGAAGAACTCCTCCAATGGTGCATACGTAATATAAAGTTTGGAGAGGTCTATGTGTCTATAACAGACATTTGGGGCAGAAAGAGGATGGCAAGGTGGCTGTTACAGAGAGCAACCAGAACTTCTTACTCTCCAAGTCAATTGTCCCTCCCTCAGTATCAGCTGTTGCAGTAAGGAGGCATAGGGAACTGTACCGGTGGAAGCAATTTGAGCTTTAGACATTTGGGAAGGAAATTCTAGGGAAGAGGGGGTTGCAAAGGGAAGCGCTTTCCAGTAGAGTTATTACTTGAGGAGAGCCTTTTACCCTGTCCCTCAGGGTGAGAAGGGGATTGCTCATGCCCCCACTGCACTCCCACCTAGGCTTAGCAGGAGTCTGGATGGAGGCAGCACTGGGCACAACAACAGAGCATCATTTCTCTCCTACCAAATTCGCAAGCTGTTGTTGAAAAGGGGAGATCAAACAGAACAAAAAAAAAAAAAAATAGCCCAACTGTGCTTACCAAACCATGGCCCTGTTACCAATACCATGTACCTTCTCAATTTACATTGGACCTTAAATTACCTAAAAGTTAGTTTCAGTGGTTAGACACACAGCCAGATTGTTCCTTTAATTCTACAGATACAGATCTTGTGTCTATATGCACAAATACCTAAAAAATTAGTTATGCAGCTAAGCAAGCAGGCCTGTCCCCTGCGTGTTATCAAAAGACAGGCTTCTTATCAGAAGCCAGGTATAAATACAATAGCCAACTTTCATGATTAACATTGGGCCACATTCTTCCCTCTGCACAGAATCTCATGACATATTACTTGCATCTCAGAAAACACAAAACATCATAAAAAAAGAGTGCAAGTTATGCAAGTTACATTAATCAAATAGTTTGAAGTTTTAATTGAGATCCATGTTTGTTTTGCAACAGTTTCTCAAAGGCTATGCTATGATGAAACACAAGAATAATTTTGAATGAGACTAAAAGCAAACACAAATCTTGGAAAATAATTCTGCATTTGGAGAAGACTGAACAGAAAAGCCTGATTTTAACTAAGATCTACAGGATTACCAAGAGCATTAGGGAACGTCCTTGCAAAAATTCCTCCCTTTAGTTAAGGCTTTGAAAAGAAAGTTTTTCAGAAGTATGGAGGCACCTCTAATCTAAAGGCAATAACTGAGAATTAGAAGTCCTTAGCATCCTTAAAGATAGAGCTAAACAAGTATTTTCTAAACAAACTTAACTTTACAGTAATGAGCTATTAATCTTATTAAAATGAGACTGATACTTGCCACTGGGATCTGGCACTGTAATTGCCAGTCACTCAGTTGTTCCTAATTTATTGGATGAAGCAAATAATGCAACATTTCATGGCTGATATTGTTTTATTGTTTAATATTGATTAAAATATTTACACTCCTACTTTTCAATCCACATTTTAGCACTCATACCTATGGCTTTTACTTTTAGTACAACATCTTTGTGTCGTGTCAAAATTTCATTTAAAAAAACCCCAGGAACCTGATACGATATAGAAAAGCCTTCTCTATATTTATGTTTAAAAATATTCATTTTCAAAAATGATGATTTATAAAAGAAGACTCTGCTGGTAGATTTCTTCCAGCTCATGTTTACCACAGATTCTACTGAGCTTCTCCTAATTTAAAGCATCCCTTTTAGTGTCCTGCTGCCTCCATGTGGAATCTGTTTCCTCCCTCACAACCCCTCTAAATTTAATGGAAAAAAAAAAAATCAGTAGCTGGCAGAAAAGGACCTGGGGGTGTTGGTTGACAGCCAGCTGACTATGAGCCAGCAGTGTGCCCAGGCGGCCAAGAAGGCCAATAGCATCCTGGCTTGTATCAGGAATAGTGTGGCCAGCAGGACCAGGGAGGTGACAG